AATTTTTTTTTTTAAAACAAACATAAACAAAACATAAAAACATGTATACGCAGGACTTAAAGGTAGCATGTAAGTGTAAACTATAAAATTTATGAGCATCTGAATGGCTACTCTTGGAATTAAAATGGTTGGTACTATATCATTTAAATGAAATGTTTTTGTATGCCAAATGTATCTGAATGTTAAAAATAAGAGACTCAGATTAATATTGTCCATTCTAAGTTCTTAAAAAAATTTCAATCACCTGTATTTCTTTCCAATTAGAGATACAAGGATTGAATTTATAGCATGCTCTTATCATTTTAGTTACAATCTATCATTTTTCAGTTCAAGTTCTGCCAGATAAACAGTATTTACATTCTGCAATTAGCCAAAGCACTGATTATTGTTATTATAAATTGCATGTTGCTTTTTTATTCATCTGTTTCTTTTCACCCTTCAGTAACATCACGGCGGAGATGTCGGAATACATCCGAGTTACGGAAGATGAGAATGAGGAACCCATTGAGATCCCTTCAGAGGATGATGGGACTGTGTTACTCTCCACAGTTACAGCTCAGTTCCCAGGAGCCTGTGGTCTGCGTTACAGAAACCCCGTGTCTCAGTGTATGAGAGGCGTCCGATTAGTGGAAGGAATTCTTCATGCACCAGATAATGGCTGGGGAAATTTGGTATATGTGGTTAATTATCCCAAAGGTGCGTGTTTAAAGTTATTCTTCTTTTTCTTAAAAAAAGTTTATCAACTATAATAATATATACTATAGTTGGAAATTACATAAATGCATAAAATGTTTTATTTCAGCCATGTGTGGAAACAACTGAATTATTTAATCGGTTATTCTTTTTAATAATTGGGAAGGGAAACCACAAATGTAGTAGTATTCTCTCTAACAGCATATGCATTCACACTATGAGGTTATATAAATACGGTTATTTAGTAAGGCCCCGCTTACTGACGTATAACTAAATATCGTATTTTTTGCACTATTAAGATGCATCTTGGTTTAGAGGAGGAAAACAGGCAATGACAAAGACAGAAGAGGCGGGTTTCAGCATTGTAAAAAGGGCCCTGCTGCTGCAGCCCGTATTTTTTGCTCCATAAGACGCACTGGAGAAAAGTGTCAAAATACATTAAAGACTGTATGTGCCTAAAAATATATTTCCAAACTATTACGCATATTGAACATTATGTTGAATGTATTAAGTTTCATATTGAGCACACCTTTGTGTGGAGTAACAGGATTGAGATGTGCATAGCTCTAAAATCAACTGATTTTTAATAATATGTAATAAACAACCTTGGGAAGGACTCAATAGTCAAAAAATGCCAAATCTAGTCTTTAGCCTCTGACTGCACAAACAATCAGTTTGTTAAAGTAGACTGCCCAGCTTCTAGCAACTTTGGGAGTCTTACGTTGCAATTAACATGGTCTCTATTTGTGTCCACGGCTGTTTTTTAGACAACAAGAGGAAAATGGATGAAACAGATGCTTCATCAGCTGTTAAAGTGAAACGTGCAGTGCAAAAAACCTCTGATCTGATAGTTTTGGGTCTTCCATGGAAAACAACAGAGCAAGATCTGAAAGAATATTTCAGCACGTTTGGAGAAGTTCTCATGGTGCAGGTATTTGGCACAAGTTCTTGAAGCTGCGTAGCGGTTCTTATGTTAGAATGAAAATTTAGTTTAGCTGCCACCTCTCAGCAGGGAAGACCTGCCTTTCCTCCTTCTAGTCTAGGCCAAATGGAATGGACATTTAAGGGAAAGGGAGCTGATTGTTGCAGCTTTTCATTCAAGACCGTAACGCAGGATGAAACCTTCAGCTAAGAGACAGAACATTAGTATTTTTCTATTATTACATATTTCAAATTAACTTTAAGGTGGATATAGTGACATAATGCTATTCTGGGCCTATAATTTCCTTTTCTATATCTAGGTTAAGAAGGACATCAAAACTGGCCACTCAAAGGGGTTTGGTTTTGTAAGGTTTACCGACTACGAAACCCAAGTGAAAGTCATGTCTCAGCGTCACATGATTGATGGAAGATGGTGCGACTGCAAGCTCCCCAATTCTAAGGTACATGATGACATTTGTGGGCTTTATGAATCACATTGCGCCCAGATATTTTCTTCTCTGAAACAAGTTTGCAGAAGACCAGAGTGGTCCAGGTGTTCATATGACTTGACAGGGTTTTGCAAGTGGAGCGAAACACTTCTTAGTTTTCCGAATTCAAATTCCGTGTCCCATCACTTTAGAAGAGACAATTTCAGAATTCGAAGTTTTTCGTTGACTAATTGCTGTATTATTATGTGGGGGGAACCTTTATTGGTGACAGCCTCTGTAACTCTTTTATATTAATATAAATCTTCTGTCTTGGTACCAGCAAAGTCCAGATGAACCTTTGCGTAGCAGGAAGGTGTTTGTTGGGCGTTGCACTGAAGACATGACTGCAGATGAGCTCCGTCAGTTTTTTTCACAATATGGAGAAGTCGTTGATGTCTTCATTCCCAAACCATTCAGAGCTTTTGCCTTTGTTACGTTTGCTGATGATCAGGTATTCACCCAGTGCCCTCTTTGCCTGAGGAGCATGCACTGTTTCCTTAAGCAGTTTTCATAACATTCCCATTTAATTTCATTGTGTGTTAAATGTAAATGCAGTTGGCTGTTGAATTATGAGACATATAAATTGCATATATCCTGTTGCATATATCCTGTTAATTTATTCCTGTCAGCTACACAATCATTTTAAGGGAGGTTTTCATTCAGGAAAGCTTGATCTAAAAGTATCTCAGTATTACTGTGTAATTAGATGCTTCCATTTCATTGCCACTGTTTAAATAACAACAGGCACAAAGCAAACCTTGTAAATAAACTGGCTGTTAATCATTTTTGCCCTTGAGAATGAAGGAAAAACAGCTCTTAACTCCTGTTTGTCTGGGAAGCTGATTAATCTTGCCACAGACCTTCTGGGCCAGTGGTTACTTACACATTTGTATGGAGCAGTATTCAATTTCAAAATCAGCTGCCTAAGAACTATAATTGGGGTAATTGTGTGGGATGGGCTTCCTTTTAGAAATGTCAGTGGAAGCTTTTATGAGAAAGCGAGTTTCTTGTTTCAGACTTGAGCAGAATGAGTAAGAAGTGCAATGCAAATTAAATTAGGGTTGTTTGTTTTTTTTTTTAAAAAAAGAGAGAGAATAGCTCTATGCTGTTGTGAGGGAAGGCTAATAGTTGGCTAGGTTAATGAATGCTCCAAACAAGCCTTGTGTATTCATTGCTGCTTTTGTAGCCCTTTTTGTGCATTTGTTGTCTCTCCTCCTTTGCTCCTGGGATTACTCAGCCCTTGCTCCTTACTCTTTGCAGGTCGCCCAGTCCCTTTGTGGTGAGGACTTGATCATAAAAGGAATCAGCGTCCATATATCCAATGCTGAACCTAAGCATAATAGCAGTAGACAACTAGAAAGAGGTGGAAGATTTGGTGGTAATCCAGGAGGCTTTGGGAATCAGGGGGGATTTCCTAACCGCGGGGGAGGCGGGGGAGGCGGGGGGCTGGGCAGCAACCAGGGCAGTAACATGGGAGGTGGGATGAACTTTGGGGCCTTCAGCATCAACCCCGCCATGATGGCGGCTGCCCAGGCCGCGCTGCAAAGCAGCTGGGGGATGATGGGCATGCTTGCTAGCCAGCAGAACCAGTCTGGGCCGTCAGGGAACAACCAGCCACAGGGCAACATGCAGAGGGAGCAGAGCCAAGGGTTTAGCTCCGGGAGCAATTCCTACGGAAGCTCGAACTCAGGCCCAGCGATAGGGTGGGGCTCCTCCAACACCGGCTCCAGCAGCGGGTTTAATGGGGGATTCGGGTCGAGCATGGATTCCAAGTCATCGGGGTGGGGGATGTAGGCAGGCTTATACTGACCGGCGGGAAATCAAATTTTTTTTTTCTAGAGCTCCTGGTAAGTATAATCTAAAATGCATATACTAAAAGGAAAAAAAGAAAAAAAAACAACCCCAAATCGATTCTGTTCAGTGTGTAGTATATTTCGATAGTATTTTTGACACTTTTTTTTTCTTTTGTAAGGGGGGAAAAAAAAGATTCAATGAAGTTTTATAGGTTTTGTTACCATGAGTTGGAATACATGAGTTGGGATTATTGAGTGGCTGAACGTGAACTGTTTCCCTGACTGGCAAACGGGTGTGCTGCAATTTAAATAGGAATTTGTAAAGATTTGATTCCTCGTTTCCTAGTCAGCTGAGATCTTGGCATGTTTCAGAAAAAAATGGAAGACATTTTTTTCAGAAACTGCATCCTATCCTTTATTAATTTTTTTTTTTAAATTTAATTTGATCCCCCCCGCCATAAGAATTTTTTCTCTCTTTCTCTCCTTCCCCCTCCCCCAAATGTCCTGTGTGGAGAATGCAATGTTGGTGTCGGCTTTTTTTCCTTTTAACACTGTCTCCCTTCTCATACTAAAGTACAGTATGGAGACCTCATTTAGTTCTTGCAGTTCATCTCATTTCAAATGTGTCTGGAAGAAGCACTTCATTGAAAACAGTGCAGTTTAAAAAAAAACAAAAAACACAAACACCTATACATAGATCTATAAAAAAAAAATATCTGCTTTAGGAATACTCCTGTCTCCATGCTTTCCTCATCCAAGACTCCTTCATCACACTGCACATGCTGCGTCTTAAGATGGTGGGTGTTCCATTTTATCCGCTCCTCTTTTTATTTCATGGAGTCGTACTCAACGCTGTGAACGCAAGGCTGTGAGATGGAAACCAGAAGGCTTGTTTGAACTTCTGAAAACCTTGTGTGGGATTGGATTTGTGGTGCCAAGGCATGTGAGGGCTTGGTATGTGCGAGAAAAAGAAGGAGGCGCATGCAGAGAGAGACTTGGTGATGCATTATGGGATTTAAAAAAAAAAAAACAATTTTTTTTTTCTTGACGCAATGCCCCTCGATCCTGTGGCTTTGGTGAGAGAGTGTGCGGAGAGCGATGGGAGCAGACGTACGAATGTTTTCTTTGCATTCAAACGGACATCTGATCTGGAAGAACTTAAGCGGGGGGAGGGCTTTTTACTTAGTTAACCAAATTAGTTGGATGTGTTAAGTGAAATGAATATCTGTATATTTTTTTTTCTCTCCTTTATGTCAACTCTGCTGTGAATGCTGTATGGTGTGTGTTATTTTGTTCAACGATCCTGTAAGTGTGGTAATGTGAACCGAAGGTGGGGATTTTTGATGGGAACATCCAGTTCATAGTGTGCTTTCTGTGTGTGTTGTTTTTTTTTTCCCCAGCAGAGCTCACTTGCAAGCTCAGGTGTTCCCTTGCGGGTGGAAGTTTTCCTGTCTGTAAGATACTCATATGAATGCTGTTTGCTGAAGTTCTGTGTTTGGATGCTTTTTTACAAGATTTGTCAATGTAGGAAATTCTTAAATAAAACTGATTTAAGTAATACGTGTGTGTGTTTGACAGCCCCCAAGAGCGAAAGAGCTCTTAAATTTTTAATTGGTTTAAAGTATCGTTTAGGATAAAAAAAGTAAGTTTTTTTAAAATGTTTTTTTTAGGTTTGCCTGCCTCATGTAGCAGAAACTTCAAAACTAAGACCCGGCCTTATCTTCATAGCTTTTGCGATAAACATACCTGAAATGCAATTCTGTCATATGAAGTGCGCCATCCCTGCTCAGCAGGCATCACTAATTTCCTGGGTCTAAGCAAAAATCCCCAATAACCCTTGAGTCTGTAGTATTGTGTTCTCCGCCTTGCTGAGAATAGGATGCTAAAAACCTCAGTTTCAATGTGACAATGTGGTTCGACAAAGTATTGGAAAACATTTGGCTCCACGTGAGTTATACAGTAACAGTATCCTTACTCGATACAAACCTACAACTTCCATTGGATAGGTAATGGGAGCCGTCAGTTTGGTCCCATTAAATTTATACACTTCTAAAATCCCCTTTAGCTCCCCTGATTTTCTTTGCATTTCAGCTAGAAATCCTATTTCCTTTTAAAGGACATGAGTGTAGGAGGTGAACTCTGAAAACTATTTGCTGGGTGCTTATTGTGGCGTTGTTGTTTGATACTAAAACTGAAGATGGTTCTTGGTGTAAAACAGATCTGTGAATATTCCAGAGGACATATAGTCTTACATTGCATAATCTTTACTTCACCTAAATCCGATCCATTGCCAAAATCTACCATCTGAATTTTGCATTTTAGCACTTGCATTAACACCAGCTACTGCTGCTGAGTAACACTTAATATGGTTTTCTCGGACCTCCCAAGGCTAAACTGTGTCATCCCAGGAAGGATCATGAGGGTAAGTTTGATACCTCACTAGCATGGTTTCAGTAATTTATTTCAGCTTGTATTTATAAAACCCAAGGGCCACTTCTGAATAGAAAGGGGGACCCATGCTGTGACCATTTTAATGCTGCTTCAAGCACAAAGGGCTCTAACATCCCTTCCCTCCAATCCCTAAGCATCTTAGAATTGTTTTCAAACATGATTCATATCATTAATTTTTTTCGTTAGTGTTGAAAGTGAGTTAATAAACAGAATTCTCATAACTCGATCGTCTGGAGTCTTGTTTTTAACTTTCTGCAGCCCTTGTATGTATTCTGCTAAATGCAATTTAAAGAGGGAAATAAGGAACACAGTCGGTTTGCCACTGCTAGAAGGATTATCTTGCTAATGAGCTTCATTTAGTAATAAGCAGTATTGTAATTTAACAGAGGCCCAATGTGAGCAAATGTGTGTTTCGGTTGCCTGCTGAGCATCTCTTAATTACTGAGACTTTGCTATTCAAATGGACATGACGATGACAGTTCCATTTTCCAGTCCAGATTTGTGTGGGTGCGAATTAAATCTTGGCGCATTTTGATCTCTGCAGTTGAGACCAAACTTACAGCTGAATGAGCAGGGCCTCTGGGGCTTTTGCTCCGTTCCTACATAACGCCTGACGCGCTTTCTCTCCCCCCTCCCGCCCCACCGGTTGTCAGTGAAGCCTGTTCATAAAAAGAGAATACTATTACCTCCAACTCTTTGGTAGCTAATAAAGGAATTCCTTGTATGCTAGGTTGATCTCATTAAGATAAGCTTCAGTAAATGTAAATGAGGGGGAAGAGATTGGCCCCAATGAAGTTAAAGATTTGGACTTTAAAATTGAGTATGGTAGAAGAAAAGTGATGGCTTTAACGACATGAGAAAACTGAATAGATGGGAATTATGACCACGATGGGTTGTGGCAGGGAGCAAGGCTGGGGTCTGTATCTATCTGTCACTGTCACTGTCTCTTTCTCTGTCTGTCACTATCTATTTGTCTATGTTTTCTATCATCAATATATTTTCTGTCAGTCATCAATCTTTCATCTATCTAATCTAGATAGTTCTATCTGTGTATCTAATCTAGCTAGCTAGATAAATAAATAGAAAAAGAAAGAAAGAAAAAGAAAAATAATTTGGGAGGAAAATGTGAATGTTGCTGTGGATGCTTTCATGAACCTTTCTGATTTAAAATGGACAGTTTCATAAGAAATTCACAAAGAACCAGATCTTTCAACGTGGTTAAAAATCAGTTTGTTGGTTGCATAGCTTAGAGGCAGATTCCGTGGATCTTTCTTCAAATAAACCCGAGTTAAGTTGGGAGGGTAGGGCTATAGATGAGCCTTATTAAAATCTACAGAACTAATTGCGTTCAATGCTTTATTGAAAAACATGACAAAAACTGTTCAAGAATGGCGTGCAATTAGGTCCCCCATCCACGACATATAATTGGACACTTTTGTGTAGACCCCGTAAAGCTCAGCAGAGCCACATTCCAGACCCCAGGAGACCACCCCCCCGACAAACCACCTCCTGGCCTTAGTATCGTAGAACACCAAGGCTCCTCCGCTGTCCCCATAGCAGGAATCCTTCCCCCCCTCCTCAGTTCCTGCGCAAAGCATATTTTCCGTCAGCCTGAGTTGCTTTCCTTGCAAAGTCCGGTTGGCATAGGCAGCTTTGCATTTGTTCGGCTCGACAACATCTACCTCGGTATACAACAAGAAACGGGACTGCCGGGCCCGCTCCGTTTTTCCCCAGCCAGCGATTATTCCTGTGTCGTTTGTGTGCACCTGGAAGCCCGGGTTGTGTCCCGGCAAGCAAATTGGAGTGATGTTTTTGTTAATGGGGACTTTGTGTTTCAGTTTGATCAAAGCGATGTCATTGTTGAAGTTGATGCCATCGTTTGTGAAGCCGCCGTGGACGAAAACCGATTCCGCCCAGGCTTGGTGGTAATGAGGAGACCGTTTGTTTAGAAGCCCCATTTTCAAGGTCAGGGAAGAGGCATCAGGTGAGCTGCCCAGAACGTGAGCGGCTGTTAAGATCCAGTTATCGTATAAAAGGGCTCCGCCCCCAGTTGCTCCGTGTGCGTCTGTGATTAAAACCTGCCAAGGGAATTGGCCGGGCAGAGCCTTCTGTCCCCCAAAAATTCGTTTCAAAGTGTTGGACGTTTGCACTCCACAGACTGGCAAGGAAGAGAAAGGAGGTATTAGTCAAACTTACTACTCCAGAGAGATTTGATTCTCCCGGCCTCAGTCTACAAAGTCCTAGAAAAGTGTAGGGATTGGATTATGTGTCCCAAACTCAGTTATTTCCCCATTCTTCCCCATCCCAACAAGGAATTCCGAAGAGGATGGTGGCGGTGGTGGTGGTTGAAGTTTGGATGCCAGGTTTGTCAAGCTATGAGGTTTCTCTTTTCCCCACCTCGAGGTGGTGGTTATGGATGACTTTCCCAGAGCTATGGCTGCATTGTAACATGTTATCTGTTGCAATTTTAAAGGCATTTAATGTGGAACATGTTTCTTAGTCACAAATCTAGGCCACATGTTGACGCTTAAACTATGGAAATACCAATGTTTCCTTAATGTGTGGTCTTGCTTTGAGATCTCCCAGGTGCTGAGTGGCTCAACTACCTTCTCCACAAATAGGAATGCTGCCTTATTATTGGTAATACTACATGGGGCCGTCTGGTCTTTTCAAATACTGCCTTTGTTGTCTGATATGTACCCAGTTGTGCAGTTTGATTGGCCAAGTTAATAGTAGATGAGACAAAATACAAAGATTATTTTGTTCTAATACAGAAGTTCTTGGAGAGACTGTTGCAATAAGGGATAAGGGACGCGGCGACCCAGTAGCTAAGACGCTGAGCTTCTCTATCAGAAAGGTCGGCCGTTTGGCGGTTCGAATCCTAGCGCCACATAAGGGAGTGAGCTCCCATTCCTTGTCCCAGCTTCTGCCAACCTAGCAGTTTGAAAGCATATAAAAAATGCAAATAAAAAAACGGGGACCCCTTTGGTGGGAAGGGAACAGCGTTCCATGTGTCTTTGGCATTTAGTCCTGCCGGCCACATGACCCCGGAGACGCCTTCGGACAGCACTGGCTCTTCAATTTTGTAACGGAGATGAGCACCGCCCCTAGAGCCTGGAAACAACTAGCACGTAGTTATGACGGGAACTTTTACCTTTAATAAGGGATATTTCACATCTCATCTAAAAGCCTGGAATATCTGTTTTTAGCCTTGAATAATGCCTACAATAGTTTCTTTTGTATAGTTAAAAGTAAAATAGTTATGCTGAATGAAAAGTCATCTTTGATTATATGTATATGAAAAAATCTGCATGAGATTAAAAAATGAAAAAAAAAAGGATTATTTTATACTTATGATTCTACACACAAATACATAAAACTCTGCACAGCTGGCAGGTCAGGAAGGGAAAGCTCTTTCTGTACCACATGGAGCAGATACTGTAAGCATCACGAAGCAAGGAAATGATGCCATTTGTCTGAGATCATATTCTTGTCTTATGTACCTGTTGTAGAGCACTTGCAAATGTATTACCTGGTTCACAGACTGGAGGTGCTTTGTTTCCCTTGTGATCCTTCCAGAAACCATCAGGGGCACACCGGTAATTGCCTGTACAGACAGTATAGTTTTGGTAAAAAGAGATGCTACCCGTGCTTCAAATTGCAGCCAGCTCTTTCCCACCAGTTTTAAATACAGTCCTAACTCTCACCGGAAGGTCCCAGTTTGCATCCCATCGTTTACTGATACCTCTTGAGACCGAGGGAGGAGTCAAGCACATCATCAGTTCAGAGTCCCTTTGCACCCATAAGAAATCTAAGTCGAGCCCTCCTTGAAATCCACAGACTCTTTTATCTACTGCCGATTTGTCTTGACGGTTAGTAGATCCGATTCTCATTTAGCGGTAGCATAAAATAAACTCGTACTATTTTGGGGTCTAACCCTGGCTCCCGATTTCTTGTGCCTGGCGTCTCCCTCTCTCACGCCTCTGTGCATAGCAGTATCAGAAGCCCTGTGTCCCGAATTCCGCCAATTTTACAAATGCCTTACGTTGAAAACTAGTTTTCACTCCGATAGGCGTGGACATGGTGCAATACCAAAGCAATTACTGCCAGGCCATACAAGGCACTGGTGTTTAGCCCAGCA